ATTAGTCGAACTGGCTTTTCACAATTTGTTCTTTTTGTCCAATATTTCAGATAAAGTAACAAGAAGAGTTTAACCTTTTAGACACCTTTTTTCTTCTATGTGGCACTGACCAGGCGTTTAAGATTGTCGAGCAAATCAACGTTTTTGGAGTGATTTTGTTGTTTTTTAAGTGGTTGAATATTTCAAAAACTTTCCTTTTGGTTCTAAAGTATAATCTATGAAACAGAAATTTACAATCAAAATACTTTCTTTCAGTGCTTTTGGTTATTTAGAACAGAAGATGGACCCGATAGTTTGGATGATGGTGATGACTATATCGATTTCTTTTCATTTGTTGCCTTCAAACAGTGTCAAAAATAAAGGTATTGTTGATGGTGCAAAATTTGTAAGACCCACACACTAAGATGTAATTGCTGATTGTAAGTTCTTCACTTTATAATGCCTGTAATAAACTCCCATAGACACCAATACTCTTATTCCAACACAAAGTAGTTATAAAAGAATGTTCAAAAAATGATCGAGTGTATCTTTCATTTTTACACTTTTTGAAGAGTGGAGTTCACTTTTCGAAAGTTGGTCACATACATCTTCGGGTATTGCTTAAAACGACTTGTCCCTGTTTGTGTGATCGACTCAAGAGAACTCAAGTAAGATGATTAAATGACAACAAACACCCTTTTGGATTCCAACATCAGGCATCCCATGTTTAATTTTAAAATTTTTTTGGTTTGTTTTATTATGTTAAAAAATAATAAGTTCATTGAATTAACGTACTATTGTTGTTAGTAAAGAAATCAATATATTTGTTATAAAGTAATTAAACAACATTGATGCAAAGATTATTAAGAAATGAGAGTATTGTGTTCTCAATACAACATATTGAGAATTGTTCAGTTGTCGTGAAAAGACACTCATCACCATTTGGTTTATTTTTGTTACTTGAAGTGCATTCATTGCACTTCTGTGGTTTTGAATTGTACGACTTGGAATTAAATTTCATTTTATAAATAGGGGAACGTTTGATATATCAAATTATATTGTATAATATCTGTAAAATTATAACACAACTCACAACATTTTGTGAATATGAAATTTTTATTTTGATGATACACATCTTACTACTCGGCATATTCATACTCTGAACACGTGTTGCACTTGTCAAATGTAATATTGATGACACATTATTTATCATTTCTTGTTCAAAATTCGACATCTTCGTTATAGCTACCCTTGACATTACATTTTATATTTTTAAAACGGGTTTAACACAACTCAAATAATTCTCCTCGTAGTTCAATAAATCTATATTGATTGCTTAAAATGCAGCCGGGTAGGCACAACCACTAGCCGTAGGTCGAAACAGTTTGCATTTTTCAGCAAGTTAATTAACATCAATATAATCATTGTTTGTTGTGTCAAAATAATACCAAAAGCATATGTAACACAACTCCCTCTATTACCATATCAACTTAAGCACCTTTTTTATATTGTAGACAGCACCGCTTTAGATAATACCATTATACCATTTGTCACACCCAGTGTTGCTGTTTTCTTTGTAGTAAACAATCTTCATTTAATTGTAACATACCTAATCACATTCACGATATGTTCCAAGTGAATATAATAAATTACTTTAAAAGCAATCGCCTTGTTTATCGATTGCAATTTCTTGGATTCCATTAAATTGTGTTTTGTTTTCATCATTTTGTGCTTTTTTCAATTTGAACATTTTAAAATAATTAGGAAGGAATTATGAAAATACAAAATGGATATATTAACTAACTATGTGTTGTTGAATATGCGTTATCTTCACCTCGAGCGCATTTATGTAGTTTTTCAATATGAATATAGTAAAACTGCAATGGATATATCTGACTATTATGCACGACCAAAAAGAAGATAATACCTATCGAAACACAGCACCAAACAGTTTGAAAGTAAAACACATCTTTTATTAACTTTTGATGCTTGATTTGGCTTTTATGAAAACCAGTTAAAATATACAACATAGAGTTATTCTGAACGTTGTCCCTCAGTTTTTAAATATTAATAACTGAAATATATCGGGAAATTTTTCGAAACGCCAGAAAAACATTGTTTCAGTTTTTTTTACCGTTTTTATGATTTATTACCTTATTTCCAATTTTTTAAAGATTTTTTGTGTATTTATTATTGCAAAAGGGACGATGTTTGAGGAAAGGACAACGTTTAGAGAATGACTCTAATTGTTTTTTCCTTTTGACTGTTAAAGGAAAAATATATAAAATTGAATAACTGTAATTTATAATAACAAATAGATTTTATTTTTATTTATTTTTATCATAAATCAAAAAATGTGTTTTTTTTCCAAAACAATAAAATAACATGAAAGTGTGAATTAAAAATCAAAAAAATATCTGAAAGGAAATCATTAACATGAAAAATAAATAACAATGAAATTTTATAAATATAAATTTATATTAATAAAATAAGTTCAAAATAAAAAAATAAAGGAAATAAACAAGAACAATTATGATTTGATACAAAATAAGTGTTTATAAACTGAAAAAACAGTTTGTACGATGCTATTTAACTTAATTGTGAAATATTAAATATATATTTACACAAAAAGTATAAACTAAAATGGATTGGACATGCAGTCGACCAGCTACTGGACAATTCAAAATGGTATTTATACTGCCAATTATGTATTGTATTGGAGTCTTATATCTCAAAATATTTCATTCAAATATTTTGGTATTAACAGCATTTTATATAACGAAACTCAATTCTTTTTTCAAGTGCTGACTTGTTAAATATTTATTTACAATACATTTTTCTGAACAACATTTACTATATTTGGTTTGTTATAAACGATGATGTATTTTATTGTATATTCAAATTATTTTATCTGCTTATTTAATACAATTTGCAATTGAGCATTATATGTGGCTTTATTTATTAATAAAGCTAGAAAATATTTACGTACAATTATGCTAAGTCTAATATACAATATTAAACGTGTATTTTACAACGCGTTTTTTACAACCGCTTAAAAATGAAATGAATACAAAGTGAATGTGGAAATGGGTTGTTTGGACTGATTCCAAATTCAAAACGCCGTATTGTTGTTAAATATAATTATTTAGTTGACAATATATGTTGTGGTAAATGTGTTGATTTATCTAATATTTAGTGAATCAACATCAACAATTATGACCAATTCGATATTCCAAAAGCCAAATAACATGTCAAAATTTCAAAATACATATGAAAATATATGAATCTGTCGAATACTGACGAATATGTACATCATGCTGCTACTCTGATTAACATGAAAATTGCTTGATTGTGTTCACGTGTTAATTGTCGTTATTTTTGATACTTTTGTTTGTTTAAAACGTTTTTAATAAAAATGTTATATGTGTGCATAACAATTTTTAGTAATTTTTCAATTATTGAAAAAATAACCACAAAATAAAAATAAAATATTATTTATTTTTAACATCTAAACAAACATAATTATAAACCTATTAAATATTCCAATTTTATTTATTTTTTATTTTCCTTAAAATTATTTTTCTGAGCAAGATATTTCTCAAATCATTTCAATTTCGTTTTTTGATATACAAATGTTTGCATTTCCAATTACAATAACATGTATGTGTTTACTGTTAAGTGTGACAACAATAAACGTAAAGAAATTGTTAATACGGAAGT